TTAGTAAGATCTATTACTGTGTCTCTTAAACTGTAAAATTATTTAAAAATTAGAATTAATTCAATGTCTTCTCCTTTAACTTTTTACCTTGGTTAATTTAATAGTACTATAATTTCATTAGTATAATGGCCCAATTCATTTAATAATCAATTTATGATTCTCTTAAATTTTATGCAGTTTAAAAGAAAAGGAATTCATGAAGTCTTTTTTTTTTTTTTCCAAGAATGTTTCTTATCTAACTGGCAGCAATAGCTGTAGGACTAGGGTGTTTGAGCTACTTATTTTAGCAAAAAGGAGTTTCCCTTTACATAGTTTTTTTTTGAAAGAAAAGGCATCTGTCTGAATATAAATATATATTATTAAAAACTATTAAATTGTAAGTATTTAAGTTCCTCTTCTTCAGCTGCTAAGGAGGAACTAGTCTATATGTTCATTGGCAATGATCTTTGTTTCTTGGTAGGATGAAGCCTGGAGACGAAGAATTGGAGAAGCTAGGGACAAAGCAGCATGAGTGATCAAAAAAGCAAGGGAAATGTAAAGGACAGCAGTATTCTCAAATTTTCATGGGTATCAGGTCCACCTGGGAATCTAAGGGAATTATAATTGATTACAAAATGAATGTTAAAATATGTATTACTGGGCTCTGCCTTCAGAATTTGTGTTCAGTAGGTCTAAGGCATGACTTGATAATTTGCATGTCTAATAGGTTCCCTGGTGATGCTAATGTTGTGGTACAGGGAACACACTTTAAGAACAACTGTTATTAAAAAATATTTAGGAAGTTTTGCTTTGGGTTGTATGATATATCTTTCTAAATGACCAACTGTATTAGTCCGTTTTTACACTGCTATAAAGAACTGCTGCAGACTGGGTAATTTATAAAAGAAAGAGGTTTAATTGACTCACAGAGCAGCATGGCTGGGGAGGCCCTAGGAAACTTACAATCATGGGGGAAGGGGATGGGAGAAGCAAGGCACCTTCTTCACAAGACAACAGGAAGGAGAATGAATGCAGGAAGAACTGCCAAACACTTATAAAACCATCAGATGAAAACTCACTCATTAACATGGGAACAGCATGGGAGAAACTGTTCCCATGATCAATTACCTCCATCTGGCCTCTCTGTTGACACGTGGGGATTATGGAGACTATGGGTGGGGACACAGCCAAACCATATCACCAACCATCTCTCTTTGAGACTACAGAATTTACCTGGCCTGAGACTTTCAAGGCTAAAACTGGAAAGTCTGCCACAAACCAGGAATATTTGTTCTATGAAAGTTAGCAGAATCAAAATGGGGTCACTTGCATAAAAACCCTGAAAAATCGAACTAGGGAAGACCAGAAAGGAAGGGTTTACATGCATGTATGCCAGACAACAGGAACTACAACAAAAGACTGCACAAACCACAACTTTGCACAAAGGCCACCACAATCTCACAAAAAAATTACTTCTGCAAGGACATTTGCTCTGCAACTGCCTGTCCAACCTCAAACTGGTGCCACCCTTGTTACCAGTCCCTGTAACGAAGGATAATTGTCTCAAAGCAATTCATGTAACTCTCTTCATTTTTCCTTTAAAATTCTTTGTCTTCTTTTACCTCCCTATGTTCATTGTATCCTTACTGTAATGCTCAATCCCAAATAAATACTATTGTCTTTCATAAGAGTCTCTGTGTGTGTGTGTGTGTGTGTGTGTGTTACTTAGGTTTAACCAGTCCCCTATACAATGTCTTCAAGACATTTTCAGTAGAGCTAAAATACTTGCTAATGCTTTTGTACTAAAATGTGTGTGTGTTTTTAATTGATTCATTAACTTTAAAGTTTAGGTTTTAAATCGATATGTTAAGATTGACTTCAAGGGTTGAGTTGCATTTTAGAGGTTATTGTCTGGGATCTTGGCCCAGGGTGCAGTACTCTGCTGTAGCTAGAACGAATTGTCACCCAGAAATGAGTAAACCATCACTATGATTACCAAGTGGCCAGTGTTTTCATTCAGCAACAAGTGAAAAGGGGTGCAATAAGAGGCAGGGTATTTCTTGGACTAATACTTCAAAGTTATTATAGTTACAGCCTTTGGGAAAATTCACTGTTCATACATGGCAATGTTATGTGACTTCATCAAATAAGGAATGTCTGAATTGATCAAAGTAAGCTAGATTATATAGCAGTAATAAATTCAAAATCGTAATGGCTTAAAAACCAGAAAAGATTTATTTCTTGCTCAAACAACTTATCCTTAGACCCCAACAAAAATTGCCCATTTTTCTCTCATAACTTCTTTATCATAATTCAAGTAGCACAAATAAATAATTGCTGTGCAATGATAATAGGATTGCAGATCCTAATAATTCTTTTTCACAAAATAAACATCCATGGAAAATGGGAGTTGGAATTCTTAAAGGAGAATATAAGTTGAATATTAAAAGTGATCTAGTTTTAAATGATAGGTCTAATAAAATGTAATTTATTTCATTAAAATCCCAGAGGTAGCTATTTTAATAGGTCTTGATTTAGAAGCAGAGCTCAGAACTTTGGAAAGCATTTCGAGATTATCAAAGATGTAATAATCTAAGATTAGAAACATGATAATAGCTTCATCGATTTGCAGATACTAAAAGTAATTCACTAACAAATGAGTGAAGTATTCTATAAAGAATTCTACTGGGCCCATGGAACTTCTTAGCATTCTTAGGGAATATGTTTCACATTGATGATTTCCAAACATAAGACTATTATTCAGTGATTTGAGATGGCACTCTAGAATCTAGTTTTTCACAATGATCCACCAACAGATTTTGATGTAATAAGTCTGTAAAATGAACATTTTTAAAAAGAGGAAACCTCCATGGTGGCTCACACCTGTAATCCCAGCACTTTGGGAGGCCGAGGCGGGCAGATCATGAGGTCAGAAGTTCAAGACCAGCCTGGCCAACATGGTGAAACCCCGTCTCTACTAAAAATACAAAAAATACCTGGGCATGGTGGTGTATGCCTGTAATTGCAGCTACTCAGGAGGCTGAGGCAGGAGAATTGCTTGAACCGGGACCCGGGAGGCAGAGGTTACAGTGAGCCAAGATCGTGCCACTGCACTCCAGCCTGGGCTACAGAGCGAGACTCTGACTCAAAACAAAACAAAAGGTGAAACTTGTATTTCAACTTTGTTTATGGAAACAGAGGAGAATGCAATGTAAATGTAAACTTATTGGGGCTAGAGGAACATTCAGTTCAGTATACATTGTAGATTATTTTAAACTATAAGGCTATGAAGTTATTTTATTGCTCTTGGTCTAATGTTCTAATTCCTACACTTGGTTCCAACACTAATTTTTGCTGTAATTTTAGGTAAATCATTCATTTTTAAACTTCAGCTTCTATAAAATGAAGTCAAGTAGATTATTAATAAAGATCCCTAGCAATTCTAAAACCCCCTATTTCCTTGAAACTCCATTTCATGCAAAGGGATGTGTGCAGCATGTATAGGAGTCAAATGTTTAACGTAAACTCTTAGTGGCAATTATTATAAAGAAAAATGGATAGCATAAATGTCTAGTCTTGTTCTACTCCCTTTAGAAACTACCCACTATTTCTAGGGTAGGTCGGTAAGCTGCAGAGTATATACAACACGATTTAACAAGTCAACCGGTCAGGGGCTAATTACTTGTAGGTATCAACCTCCTGAAGACTGAATCATCTGGAGATGTGTTACAAGTAACTTAAACAGATAAGTTCAGCATGGACTCAATAATAAAATAGGAGATCATAGTTAAAACAAAACTAAGCATCACATCAGAGTAAGATCCTCACATGATTTTATTCCAGAAATGTAAATGTTCCCATCCCAGCCCTCATTCACCACTACCTCCTCTTATAATTAAGGAAATGGCAAAGACAGAATAGAAAGGCAGTCAGCTTAATTTAAGAAATGTTTTTAAGTTCAGAAAGACTGAATTAGTTTTGACCCAGAACAAGAGCTCAATTGATAACTTTGTGATTTGCGACCTTAAATCCTCACTCCTTTCTGATATATTTTTGCCAAAGGCAACCTAACTGAGGTTACCTGAGAGATCATTTTTCTACAAAATATGGCCAGCCATGCTCAAGACAAAATCATAACACATAATTTATCTCCAGCATTCTTCAAATAATTTACCTCATCTCCTGCCCCCAAACCCTAATCCCAGAATACAGGAATTTTATGATGTCTACACAGCCTATAAAAGTCTACAAATTTAAGTGCCTGTGTTAGAGCTATCTGGGGGACTACAAACATAAAGGATGTATAGTGTCACCCATTAAGATGTTCATGCCTATGATTTAGTAGGAAAAATAGAACGCTGCCATACAGACATTAACAACCAAATTTACAGGCACAGAGAATTCTTCCTTACCTAAAACATCCCAATGTTCTAAAGTTTTTTTGTTTTTGTTTTTGTTTTTTTTTTCCCCAAATCCTACAGGGTACTGAGATATGGCTACCAGAGTGCACTAGGAATGAAGAGTTCTCTATTTACCTCAAAACAAACAAATAAACAAAAACCTCCTCTCACCTCTCATGAACTTCATTTGGTACTGAAGGGTCTCTGGTTCTTAAAGTTTTCATCTGCAAGTCACAATCTTTGCTATCACAACCAACGCCCCCTTCATACCCTCCAAAGCTGAGGGAATAAAATGTCTTGAAATTGAGGGTTTAATTCGGAGAAAAATAACAGAAATAACTGGGGGAAAAGGTGTAAACTTTAGGGCTTGGAATTATTGGAAACGTGGGGATACCTCGCCATCTTCTGGTAAAAAATGGATATGAGCAGGAGAAAAACAGATCCAACCTAAGAAGCCGCTTTTTTTTAAAGCAGCAAGCCGCGTACTTCCCGCGCGGCGAATTCTGAGACCCGCCCTTTCCGGAAGTTCTGACGCTCAGTGCGCCCCGGGCAATGTGATTGACAGGGTAATCATCCGGTCCGTTATCAAACCCGTCACCCAGGAAACAGAGACCCGATCTTTCCGGATCCGCGCTCTCCCAGCATCCTTTGCCTTCCGGTATGTGTACCCGTCCGGCTAGTCCCGCCTAGCGCGCCCATTTCGAGCCGAAGTTTCCAGCTCGGGTTTCCTTGCTCAGAATTTTCCAGGAGTGGGTCTTTGGCCAGTGGCTCTGGGAGCAGTAATGGCGCAGCTAGAGGGTTACTATTTCTCGGCTGCGTTAAGCTGTACCTTTTTAGTGTCTTGCCTCCTTTTCTCCGCCTTCAGCCGGGCGCTGCGAGAGCCCTACATGGACGAGATCTTCCACCTGCCTCAGGCGCAGCGCTACTGTGAGGGCCATTTCTCCCTTTCCCAGGTGGGGTTCCCAACCTGTCCCCACCCTAGGACCGGCCTGAGAGGGCCCAGCGTCCCCGGGTCCTTCTCCCAGTCTTAGACTTAACTCGCCCCGTTCCACCCTTCCAGCCTCAAAACATGAAAGAAACTGTCTTTTGTTCCTGTCTCTGAGATTTGTGAAATATTTGTTAAATTAATGAATAAACAGCAGATCTGTCTCCCAGGAAGGAATGATCTGGTAGAATACTTAATGGGGAACTGAGCGCCCCTGTTGGCAGCTGACGATATCTATCCCACTTTGTCTTTCCTTGTCTCAGGATTAAAGGCTTTAGGGTGCTCCTTGGAAATATCAGAAAACTTCCCTTTAACTCACCTGTCAAACACCTCACTATGCATTTTAGGGATGGGATAGGGTGGACTGGAAGGATCTTCAGCTACCAAAAAGTAACAATTTACAATCACAAATTCCTTCCCTGGGTATTTTTAATGAACTATCTGTTAACTGGATAAACTGGCAACCACTCAAGTCATATCATTTTTCAGTATATATTTGACTGTGCAAGTATATACATAATAAACATCAAAATAAACATCCCCTCCTTTTCTGGTGACACAATGTAGGGTACTGGCTGGAAATATGAAGTCTGTTTTAAAGAAAGACCTGATCGTAAATCATGGTGCTGTGATTTACTAGTTTTGTGATCTTGGAAGTGTTCTGAGTTTCAGAAATTCGGGTTACTCATCTGCAAAATGACAATAATAATCTCTACTACAGAGCATGTTGTAAGGTTAATACAGAGGGTTTTGCACAATTTCTGGCTCAGTTCCTATTAGCTGTCATTATGGAGCCTGTAGCCCAAATGTTTTCCTAAACTTAGAGCCCTAACCAATGTTTTCATGCTTTTTAAAACTGGAGCGTTTGCAGTTTAGTTACCAAAATAAAGGCTTTCTCAAAAAAATTTCTTGGAAAATAGAAATTGATTTTAAGTTGTTATTTATTGGTTGCTGCCACCTGAACAATCACTAAGCAGGTCCAAGGGTAAAAAATAAGAAAAACTAATCCTGTTCTGCTAAGGACCGATTTAATCTTGTTATAGAATAACTTCTCAAAATTTCTGATTGTGGCTGGAGATGAGACTTGGGCTTGACATGTTTGTGTCTGCCTTGTTCATGTTACCTCTTGCTTCGACTGTATTTTCTTTCATTTTAAAGTGGGATCCCATGATTACTACATTACCTGGCTTATACCTGGTGTCAGTTGGAGTGGTCAAACCTGCCAGTTGGATCTTTGGATGGTCTGAACATGTTGTCTGCTCCATTGGTATGCTCAGATTTGTTAATCTTCTCTTCAGCGTTGGCAACTTCTATTTACTATATTTGCTTTTCCGCAAGGTACAACCCAGAAACAAGGTATGTTTCAAAATACTTAATTACAAGTTTGTGCATAGTCAGGTCCACAATTACGATGAATTTATTTTAGGAGATTTGGTGTAACACTTTGTATTTTTGTATATTTTGTAAAGGTAAATTTAAATCCTCCATCTCCATGTTAGAATAAATTTGTATTTAAATACTTGAATAACTTAATTTGTAAAATCTAAAGTAAATATTTGTTAAGCGAATCAAGCCAGTTCAATAAATACCTGCTGAGTTTATTACATGTGCTAGGAACTGGGGCTACAGAGATAAATGAGACAGCTTTTTTCTTGTAAAACTTAGGGAAAACAGACTTTACCTGAGGAATTTTGATGTTATAACAGTGCAGGCCCTGGAGGTAGATTGCCTGGGTTAGAATTCTCTCCCTGCCACTTACCAGTTTTGTTACCTTGGGCAGGTTACCCCTTAGTGGTTCCATGTCTTCATCTATTAAATAAGAATAATAATAGAATCTGCCATATAGAACTGTTACAGAGGAATAAAGAAGCTTAATAAATGGAAGATTCTTAGAAGAGTGCTGGATATATAGTAAGGACTCAGTAAATATTAACTCTAATAATTATTTTTAACCTTAAGAGATGATTTCAGTAGTATCAGTTATGATAGAGTGATAGATATAAGATGCTATGAGGATACAGAGAAGGAGCAGGGAAACACTTACTGCTTTTCTTGGGGAGAGGGGAGTAGGTGGCATTGTAAGTCTTCACAGAGAAGTTGGTACCAGAGTGGAGTCTTGATGAATAGATAGGGCTGTAGGGTGGGGAATTAATCTTGGTGAGACAAACAGCACAAGCAAAAGAAGAAAGGCATTGAACAACAAAGTGCAGGGAGTTGGTCTTTGGAATTGCAAGATTAGAAATTAGAGGGATGTAAGTCTAGAGGAGTAGGTCATGAATGCTCTTATATGTCACAGAGAGGACTTTGAACTTCAGCGTGTAATGGAGAGACCTTAATTTTAATCAAGGAACTGGCATGTTCTGATTTGGTGATTTAGATTAAGTGAAAGATACAATGCAAGAAGATAAGAACACTTTGAAATTCTGAAATAAAAGTATGTCAGAAAGGCCAAAAGAAGATATATAACTTTAGACTGGCTCACTATTTTCAGAAAAATACCTGTTATTTCAGCATAAAAATTTCATCATGAAAAATTTAAGTTGGGTATGATAGTATAAATACCATATGCATGTTTACATTCTCCCTTGTGTACAGTTATGAAGGATATACTTAAAGGAATACAGTGATTATGGCCAAGTGAATCCTTATTGAAGGCACTAAAACGTAAGCTCAGGGAAATGGAGCCATCAGCATTGTGTCCTGTTTATTTCCGTAGTCCCCATAGAACTTAGTGTCTTGCGCTTAATAAGTTCTTAACTAATCATTGCCTGATTCAAATTGTGTTAACCTATGTAAGCTTTGGCATACACATGATCTCCAAACTGATAGGTATAAATAAAAAGTACCAGGAAGTGTTCTTATAAATGTATGTTGTGTTTTTGTAGAGCCAGAGATAAGATTAATATTGATTAATTTTATTTAAATGAGGTTCGAGTAGTTTTTAAATAAGTCTTTTCATTAGGTAAGCAGAAATAGCATTTTTTAAATCATGAAAATAATTTTATCTGTGTTTTTTCTTCCTCCAAGGCTGCCTCAAGTATCCAGAGAGTCTTGTCAACATTAACGCTAGCAGTATTTCCAACACTTTATTTTTTTAACTTCCTTTATTATACAGAAGTGGGATCTATGTTTTTCACTCTTTTTGCGTATTTGATGTGTCTTTATGGAAATCATAAAACTTCAGCCTTGCTTGGATTTTGTGGCTTCATGTTTCGGCAAACAAATATCATCTGGGCTGTCTTCTGTGCAGGAAATGTCATTGCACAAAAGTTAACTGAGGCTTGGAAAACTGAGCTACAAAAGAAAGAAAACAGACTTCCACCTATTAAAGGACCATTTGCAGAATTCCGAAAAATTCTTCAGTTTCTTTTGGCTTATTCTATGTCCTTCAAAAACTTGAGTATGCTTTTCCGTCTGACTTGGCCATACATCCTTCTGGGATTTCTGTTTTGTGCTTTTGTAGTACTTAATGGTGGAATTGTTATTGGCGATCGGAGTAGTCATGAAGCCTGTCTTCATTTTCCTCAACTGTTCTACTTTTTTTCATTTACTCTCTTTTTTTCCTTTCCTCATCTCCTGTCTCTTAGCAAAATTAAGACTTTTCTTTCCTTAGTTTGGAAACGTAGAATTCTGTTTTTCGTGGTTACCTTAGTCTCTGTGTTTTTAGTTTGGAAATTCACTTATGCTCATAAATACTTGCTAGCAGACAATAGACATTATACATTCTATGTGTGGAAAAGAGTTTTTCAAAGATATGAAATTGTGAAATATTTGTTAGTTCCAGCCTATATATTCGCTGGTTGGAGTATAGCTGACTCATTGAAATCAAAGTCAATTTTTTGGAATTTAATGTTTTTCATATGTTTGTTCATTGTTATAGTTCCTCAGAAACTGCTGGAATTTCGCTACTTTATTTTACCTTATGTCATTTATAGGCTTAATGTACCTCTGCCTTCCACATCCAGACTCCTTTGTGAACTGAGTTGCTATGCAGTTGTTAATTTCATAACTTTTTACATCTTTCTGAACAAGACTTTTCAGTGGCCAAATAGTCAGGACATGCAAAGGTTTATGTGGTAATATCAGTGATATTTTGAACTGTAAAAGTGGACTTAATAATTAGACCCTTTCTGCAATGAACAACTGAATAGATAGAAATTATAAACTTTCTTTCTGGTACAACGGTGATTACATTAGATATTTTTATATCTGTTTTAAACATATATAAGAAATTAAGTGGCAGAGCACTGAGAGAGCTTAAGACCTGCTTGAAAAGCCTGAATAATGGGAAAATAAAATTGTTTTCAGTTATCTCATATCTCTCTAATAATGTTGGCCCCTCAAAAAGCTTGGGAATGTTTTGTATGTTCAAGTTTATTAAAACTGGGTATGCTTCATATTACTGGAACTAATTTATTCTCTCCAGAGAGAAATATTAGGTTGGTGCAAAAATAATTGTGGTTTTTGCCATTGAAAGTAATGGCAAAACCACAATTATTTTTGCACCAACCTAATAACAAAGTATTAGCAGATATTTAACAAAAATTATCAGGTGATTATCTTGATTGAAAAGTTGCTTAACATTTCAGTAAATATAATTTGAAATCTAGGTCAAAATAGACATGCATAGATAGTAAATGATAGAAACTCATATATGTCTATCTAGGCATCAAATTGTTGGTTATTGTTTAAAAAAATCTATAAATGATGAAGCTCTTTCATTAATTCCTACTATGAAGGGTATGATGGCCAAAGACAAATTGTGTTGATAATACCTTTAAAAGGGAGATTTTCTTTCTGAAATACATATTGTATTAGCTTCCCATGGCTCCCATAACAAATGACCACAAACTTGGTTGCTTACAACAATTTTCCTCACAGTCTGGAGGCCAGAAGTCTGAAATCAAAGTGTCAGCAGCGTTGGTTTCTTCTGGAGGCTCTAAGGAATAATCCATTTCATGTCTCTCTCCTAATATCTTGTGGCTGTCTGCAATTCTTGGAGTTACTTGGCTTATGGACAAATCTTGTCCAAGGATTACAGACCGCAGTCTTCACTCCAGTCTCTGCCTCTGTGTTCACATGGCCTTTCTCCCTGTCTTTTCTTTATTACCTTTTAAAGGCTGTCTTTGAATTGAGGGCCCACCTTAATCTAGGATGATTGTGTGGAGATCCTTAATTATGTGTATAAAGACCCATGTTCCAAGTAAGTTCATATTCACAGGTTCTGTGAATCCATGTCTTTTCATGGGATACTTTTAAAAGACATTTTAGGATAATCCTCATATAATTGTTAGAGTGAATGGATAGGAGACTATCTTTTTACATTTTTAAATTATATATCAACAAATTATAGTTGTATATGCTTATGAGGTACAAAGTGGTGTTACCATTTCTGAATATAATGTGGGATGGTTAAATAAAGCTAATTAACCTATCCATCACCTAAAATATTTGACATATTTTGTGATGAAAACATTTGAAATTTACTCTCAACTGTATTGAAATGTACAGTGCTTAATTATTAGCTGTATTCACCGTGTTTTGTAATACTTCTAAAAAAAATCAAACATATTTCTTCTATCTAATTGAAGCTTTGTGTCTTTTGATTATCATCTCCCCATTCCCACTTCTCTGGCCTCTAGTAACCATCATTCCTCTCTCTAATTCTATGAGTTTAATTGCTTTAGATTACACAAATAAGTGAGATCATGTGGTTGCCGTTTTTGTGCTTGGCTTATTTCACTTACCGTAATGTCCTCCAAGTTCATCCATATTGTTGCAAATTACACAATTTCTACCTTTTTAAAGGCTGAGTATTTTATTATGTATCTGTGTATATACATGCCATATTTTCTTTATCCATTCATCCATGATGGACACTTACATTGACTGAATAACTTGGTTATTGTGACTTGTCTGCAATGAACATGGAGTGCAGACTTCTCTTTGACATATGGATTTCAAATATTCTGGATAAATGCCCAGAAGTGGGACTGTTGGATCAGGAGATATCTTAGCTGATATCTTTTAAATAACTCTCAGTATCTTTACTGAGAGGTTAAAAAATAAATGACTTTTGAGGTAATATAAAGCTAAAGGGGACTAGTGTTTGATTCTAATATCGGGAAAAAAAAAAGTTAGAATTGAAAGAAAGTTGAGAATTCATTTGGTCTGACCTTATTTTGTAGATGAGGGAAGAACTGCTAGGATAGGATTATTTTGTGTTACTTTTTGAATTTTGTCTTTATTATTTTGGTGTATTTCTATGAAATTCTAAACATATATTATCTTTAGGTAGCATTAGTAAGATTCAGGTATGCTGTGTATTTTGTTACATTTATGTTTTCCGTTAGTGGCTAGTCAGAAATCTTGAACTGCATCTGACTATGTATTTAAATGTTTGGAAATACAATATCTCTCAGTTTAAATATAGCATCTCATTTTGGCAAGATAAATTATTTTAACTGACCTTTTCTTTGTCTTCTTAGAGTTATTTCTGAAATGTGCATAGCCAGTCATAAAATACCTTAGTGTAAATAGCCTAATGTAATTTATTTCTAATAAATAAATAGCTTAATGAAATGTATTTCTAGTTTGAACTTAATTGCCAATTGGCTTAATATTATTTTCCTTAGAATTGTTGGAAGAGAGGAGAGGAGAAGGGATCTACAGTTTTTATTCGTACCACCTAAATAGTGGACTGTTATTTTGGACTCACTTTTAAATAAAATATTTATTCATATGAAGAAATAAATTTTGTGTTTATTAGTTTAGCAATAATTTATGATCTTTGAAGTAATTGGAATTTCATTAAAAAGTGAAGCAAGTAAGAATTGTGATACAAGTATGAAAATTTTTTTAATGGAAATTTTAGTATGACTTAGGAACCATGGGATTTTAGAAAAAACATTTAACATGGGGGTTAAGATTTTCATACTTGGTTGTGGCTCTGGGATCAGTAAGGCAAATGGTTTAGTCTTTAGTCTTTATTTCAAATGAGAATAGTATTTGTCCTAACCCTAGTCAGCATCTGGTTTTTATGTGTATAACCTTATTTTAAAAATGATTCATCCCTGCCATATGTTCATAATATTTATATGTCATGTGATAAATATTGAGTAAATATACACTGAATTAAGTTTTCATATAGAGTGAAGTGAATAGAAAAAATATCCTATATAACCATAGCTAATTTTAGAAAGTAAATCATGTTTCATAGAGTCATCCTAAACATTTTTCTGTGTAATTTTCTGACCCAGTGTTAAATTTTTCTTTTTGCTTTAGTGCAAGCTTGTTCAACCCACAGGCCGTATGTGGCCCAGGACAGCTTTGAATGCACCCCAACACAAATTTGTAAACTTTCTATAATGAGTTTTTTTTGTGATTTTTGTTTGTTTGTTTTTTTGCTCATCAGCTATCGTTAGTGTATTTTATATGTGGCCCAAGACAGTTCTTCTAATGTGGCTCAGGGAAGCCAAAAGATGAGGCATCCCAGCTAGCATTTAATGCTTATACATTTATTTACTTGTAAATATGGTATTTCTTTGATAGGGTATGATTTCACCATAATTAATGTTTATTTAAATGAAGAAAAATAACCTTCAACCAGTAACAGATTATAAGACTTTAAACGTTAAGTTTCTTTAATATGGTATAATTTCAAAATAATTGCTTTTTATTTAAAATAAGAAAAATCAGTAACCTTCAACCAATAACAGGTTAAAGACTTTAAGGCAAAAAGAAATTTCAGCTAATTACAAATACTTTGTTTTATTTAGTTGGGCTACATTTTACTACTCTAGGAATAGCTGTTAGTTATCTTTTATATAGGTTATTTTTATGTGTTTAATGTTGACAACAAACATTTCCAATACACAAAAACTTGCATAACTGAGAAAATTATAATAAAAATAGATAGATGAGAATATATTTTTGACATATACCCATGAGCCAACACTAAATCATTTGAGATTTGAAAATTATTTCTAGGGTAAGACATTTTGCCACAATATAATATCTGTATATTGTGCTTTTTATGAGAGAGAAATTTTTGATGAATTTAATATTAATTAAATTTTAGCTCAGCCTATCACTATCAAACCAAAAGAATAGTATTTTTCCAACAAGTAAAAGAAAATACCTGTATATGTATTCATATATAAAAATTTGTATATATGTAATATGTGTACAAATATATATATATAATTTCTTCTTTTTTTTTTTTTTTTGTAAGAATAAAGACAGGGTCTCACTATGTTGTATGGGCTGGTCTCAAACTCCTGGCCTCAAGTGATCCTCCCACCTTGGCCTCCCAGAGTGCTGGGATTTACAGGAGCCACTGTGCCCAGCTTCCAACAAGAAAAATATTAAATGTGGTTTTTTTTCGCAGTGAAACTTGATCAGTTCACTTTTGTTGAACCATATATGTGTGTATATGGCACATATAAGATGAAAAAGAAAGGGAGGAAAAGTAATAATAATGATAGGCTGCTATCATGCATTGAACACTTATAATGCTTTAGGCATTATACTGGCTCATTTGCAAATACTGTCTCATTTGATGCTACATTTATATTTTTATAAGGTAGATGTTGATTTCTATTTCACCGCTGAAGAAACTAATTGTCAGGCAGATCAGGTGACTTGCCCAAATTCTACACTGTCACCAAATGAACATAGATTGATATGACTCCCAAGCCTGTGAGTTTCTATCATATTCTGCCTCATATATGAAAAGTTTTTTAAAACTTTTTATTATTTTTTAATTGAAGTAGAATATGGAGAGAGAGGTGATAATCTATGTTGGCTATCTGCATTATCCAGACCATTCATGACATGTTATTTTTGTACTGGATATAGTCATTTTTTTAAATGCTACAAACTGTTAAAAGGAGCATGAACAACATGATAACTGCTTATAATTTTGTTGTAAGATAAATGGCTAAAATTATGTGGGATGTTTAATTTGGATGAGCAGAGATTCTAAAACTTGATAAGCTCTCCTAAGGAATAATTATTTGAAAGATTGGACTTAATTTTGTATTGCCTGAAGTGTAAATCAGAGGTCAACAATTAGATTTCAAATCATGAAAAGCATACATTTTCTAATTGTTTAGTCTTTTTAGAGAAACAAACGCAGAAAAAAGTAAGAGTCTTATTCATTGTATATAAGATTTCTGTTTATCAAAGATGCTTAAGAAGAGTTGGATAAAAAGTAGGTAAAATGCCTTTTAAAGGTCTGACATCTTTAAAGCTCTGTGATTTTTAAATTCTTAATTTTGTTACAGCTAATTTTTTAAAATTAATTTCTGAGTCATGGTCAAGTATTTCTGCTGACTTGCATGCTATCTTTGGTATGTTTTAAGTTTCTAAACCAAAACTATTTAACTCTATTACCTTGTTTTAGAAACACATTTGAGATATACAAGTTAGTAAAAGATATTTTAGCTATGATATTTTGGAGCACTGGCAGTATAGCCTTTAACTTATTTTATATTTTTATCCCTCTGTATCAGGGAAAGTAATGTACTTCCATTTGAAAACTTTTCCCCCAGTGATAAAAAAGGCTGAGCACTATCTGTAAAAATTTTTAATGTGGTGTCCACTAGATGGGGATAACTGTGCTACATTTTCAAGTGTTGTAATTAAACTACTATTAGTCTGAATTAAACTCTCTTATAGTGTTTTATTGTTTTTAACCACAAACATTTATAATCATTTATATCTATTTATCATAATGTTATTCAAATGCTTCCTGGATTGTATGAAGCTAAGGTAAATGGAAAAAAAAACCCTCATTTTTGTGTTTTGTAATCATATATTAGGTGATTTAACCTAATATGTCTTCCCATAGAATATAGTCAGGATCTTTTCATATGCCATACTTCATTCATATGACATAGTCAGAATCTTTTCCCACAAATAATGAGTGATGATGTCTCATTTGAAAACTCATGTAACATTGTATCAGCCTCTGTTTCAAAGTGATTTACCCATGTTATTCTCATAACAGCTCTATGAGATCAGTACTGTACACATGGGGAAACTTAGTAAAGAGACATGAAATATTTTTCCCAAGATTACAAAATAACTGGCTGAGCTGGAATTCATAACCAGGCAGTCTGACTCCAAAATCCATATTCTTAACTCTCTTGATATGGTGGAGAAAGGCATGAAGTCTACCTTGAAATTCATAGCATTTTAGAAAGAAAAATTGTCACAAATAATGTGATTATACTTCCTTGTTTTGTAGGTCAGAAAAATGAAGTCTACATTTATTTTGCCTCTTCCACAGGGAGATAGACTCTTATCTTCCATTGTGTCTTTCATTTCTGTTTTTGTCATCATACCTCAAATTGATATGTGTTGTAAATATGAATTTAAGGAAGTAAAAAACAAAATAACTCAGGTCTGGAGCCTTCAGCTGTGTTAATATACATTGAAATAAAGACCTTTGTTTTAATAAGAATGACTCCAGTTACCAAATGGAGAAATAGTTGTTTTAAAATTAATATTTAGTTTCTCAAAAGACCCTCCTATTTGGAAGCAAATTTTGGTTAAACATGGCATACTTTCAATTATTGAAAAATTCTGGGTGGAATAACAATCTCTTATTTTTAAGAATATAAATATATGTTTTATATAATTTTAAGTTATGTATTTTATTAGAAGATACCATTCTCTAAAATGGAAATGTTGGACTTCTAAAACTCATTTGTGAGTTTATGTCATTTAAAACTGCTTTCTCAGTCAACTTATTCTTTATAAAAAAGTTTGTTCAAATAGCATGCTTTTATTGCGTTTGTAAATAAATTCATGTTTGATAATATTTTATATTGTATTATGTCTACTTAACACATTTTCTTATCTTAAACTGAGTGTTAGAAGATTTTTATTTCTCTCACACTATCCTGCTAGCCATTTTCCCCTGTCTACCACCTACCTAATCCTAAGCTTTATTCGTCATTTTAAAATAGAACCGAATCTTTTTTTTTTTTTTTTCTGAGACGAAGTTTTGCTCTTGTTACCCAGGCTGGAGTGCAATGGCGCCATCTTGGCTCACCGCAACCTCCACCTCCTGGGTTCAAGCAATTCTCCTGCCTCAGCCTCCCAAGTTGCTGGGA